TCACGAAATGTCTCCCTCCAAGGTGGGTTTTCAGTGGACTAATTTACTGGATAAATATTTGTCAGCATAAACAGAAAGCATCTCCTTATGAATGTCCTTCGCAGGCAGCCCTTTTGCCTCTTAAAAAACACACAACAGCACATTGTTCTTTGAGGGTACACTTAGTAAGTACAATCGTCATTTTGTTAATATGTTGCAAATGGGCATGCAACACCTAGCACCTCCTAACGAATGGAGGCATAAAGTTTGATGTTGCTGTTGCCTAATGACACCTTTATAAACCATCAGCTACATTTTCCTGCCATCCCATAACCATTTGTGACTTACTGACTTCCCCTTGTTTGTTTCTTCTCAGATGCTCACATTCAAACCATCTTTAAAAGTGACAGAAATGACCCCCCCCCCCCCCCCCCCCCCACAATACACATTGTTGTCTATCATTTATGAAGCTGTCACTGAATTACTGATGGGAAGAGCAAAAGTGAAGAAAGCAAAAGATAGGCAGCAATATAAGTGGGAGGATAAATTGAAAGACTGAACAAGCAGCCAGCTGACATCACACAGCGAGAGACCACTTGAACTTCGCCCAAATAAAAATAGACAACAGTTATAAGCGAAGCGGTTCTCAGCAAGGTTGAATATGGTGAAATTTTGTTGTTGATTTTCTTCCACAAACTAACAACAACAACAGTACAGCCAGGGCGAGAGATAGGCAGTGTTTTGAGATTTATCAGTCAGCTTCATTGTGAAAATGGCTCCTGATTCACTGATTGCTCCGAAATATTCCAAATTATCTTATATGTATACAATGTAGGCCTGATGTTTTCAAACATCAGTGTGTTCAAATAAGGATGATCCTGGGACAGGTTCAGCAAGCCGGTAGTCAATTTATTTGTTCACCTGAAATTGCTCAAGAATTATGGAGGAATTTGAAGAAAAAGCGTTAATTCAGTCAGCGCTCACATCATCATCATCACAAATTATTCCTCCCCACGATGATTAAAGGCAGAAGGATTTATGATAATGAATGTAAACCTAAATGGAGCTGTGGTAGCAAAGTGGCTAGATGCTCAGCTGCCAGCTTGAAGATTTTGGGTTCATATCTGCTTTGAGTCTAATTTATTGTATTTCTTCAAAATTGACCTTGGTTTCCAGGTTGTTAACTCTTTGAGTCCCAAGGGGTTTAGCATCAGAGGCTCAAGGGGTAGTCAAAAGAGATGTAAAATCGGCGCATCTTTCGTTTATTAGGTCTCTAGGTATGAACCTATGAACGTATGATGCGTTTCCTGGGACTCAAAGAGTAAATATAGGACCTTTTTCCCTGCCTTTAGGCCTACTGAGTATATAGTGCTAGACTTATATTTTTTGACCAATTCGCACTCGGTGGGTGATGTGATCAACATCATGCCGGCCACCTTTACTTCCCAAAATTTCACCTGGTATACATTTAAAGCTGGGTCAAGCTGAGAGCCAAAGTCATTTTAAAAAAAAAAGTCAGGCTCATTTCGGATTTGAAAACATGACCTTTATTCAGATCCACAGGTGTTTATCAAGTGTCTACACTATGGTGGCTCGCAGTTTGACCCAGGCTAAAATGAGTGCCAGGTAATATCTTGATCATCATCATACGGTAATATACAACATTCAGATGAAATTCACCGGATTTAAAACTAGTAACAAAATTGATTTTTTTCAAACAAACAAAATTTATTTGTTCACAGAAGAAAACAAACATAACATTAGAATCTATTTCTAAGTAGAAAATTAATGGGATTTGGGGTTTAACAGGCGAGATCAATGCAAAAGCTCTCAGGTTTCTAATTTCTGTTCTTCTTTTAGTTTACAAAAAGTGGCTAAAGATGGATATTAATATGTAGGTGTGGATGAATCCATACTGGTGTCTGCTGGAAAATTTGTTGGTCAAACATTTGCATGTGAGCCAGACAATAGATTATGTTTGTGCATAACATATAAGATGTCTTTTACGAACCAAAATAAAACAAGAAAAGTTAACTTTTAACGTGACATGATATGGTGCTGCAGACATATGATATTTACCCAAGTTTGCTCTGTCCCAATGAAACCATTACTTTTACATTTGAAATCAATTTTAAATACTATTATTGCAATATAATTCTCGTTCGTGAAATTAAATGGTAAATTATATGTGTTTCCCAAATGATTTTAGGAATTATACTGGCCTGTGGGAAAGGTTCTAAATATAATAAAAGTGGCACACATTAAAAAAAAATTCACTGAAAAGATTTTAAATTTATTTAGTTTCATATTGTCTTCTCCATGATCATAATATTTGCACAGCTCAAAAGCCACATAATTGTTTTTGGTTTCTCAAAACTGCCGCTGTATGTAATTTTCAAAATAAATAGAGGTATTGGAAGAAAGTAATGAAATCATATTTGAGCAGAAATTCACAATACAGTTCAGTTTTGAGCAAAGATACATAGACTGTGTCTCGATGCTTGATTCAGTTTCATGTTTTGAGCAGAAAGTAAATTAATTCAGTTTTGTAAAGCAAAACAAAATTTGTGTTTCTTGAGCAGTGATTTAGTTTTAAATTCTTGAGCATCAAAATACATGTGAAAACAAAATAAATGCCAAGATAAATGATGTGATTGCAACAAAAATAGCTGAAAAAAGCTGTATCAAACCTTTGTTTCCTCTTTTAAAAAAAGCTGTTCTGATAAACTGTTTGATACTGAGTTTGTTTTTCTAGTCTTGTTGACCAAACATTGCAGACATAGTACCACAATTGGCTATCGCCACCTCACACGTCAGGCAAGTGATATGATCTCATGGGTGATTATTTTTGGGAATATTCACAGAGATTGCTGTACAAGAGTTGTCAATTAGCCAAATTGTTCAAAGAAAAACAGGACAATAGCTTTGTAACTTCATATTCCAAATTATAAGATAAATCTCAATCCCAAGCAAAACCTGGTATGTGAATGACTTAACTTTTGATTTCACTCCATATCATAATGTTTTTATATTTGGGTAGGACATACTGAAAAATCTGGCTTCCCTTAAATAGTCACTCCCACTGCGTATATTGCCAGTCTGAATGTAGTTCAGGATTTTTTTATCAGGTTTTTTCTTCATTTGACCTATCTCCCGTTGAACCTTCTGGTACCCAAAGAGTTAAACAGTAAAGATAATCCCATCAAAGATTTCCCATAAGAATGTGAAAAGCTAAGACTTCTTCACATATATCAGATATTAACATTATGAGATAAAGTATCTCATTCATATTCTCATAAGTTAGCTTTTAAGAACTTTATAATCAATGAAATACACAAAGATGGTGGTGAAACATTCTTTGGTGAATGAAAACATCTGAGAGCTTTTAACAAAATAAAACTGGGAAGGGTTAGTATTTGGATCACAGTTGACTGGGTCTGACACATGTAGGGCATGCTGGCAAGAACTTTAGACAAACGGTCCTTTCAAGACCTTCTGGATGAAATCTGGAACAGGAAAAATAATAAACAATTAGAGCATTCTTAACTAGCAGAACTGTTCTATTAACTATTAGGTTAAGCAATCTGGTTCAGCCTCTATACATAATATGTCTTCAATTAACTATGTATTAACTTTTGATAGTCATTGACTTCACATATAGTCCGAGATTCACTTTGTATTGATTGCTCGATGAACTACAATTCTAATGATAGATTGTTTATGATTGCACTTCTGAAGGCTGCCTTATGTATTAAATGCATGTGAATACTACTGACTTTGCAGAGGCTGCATTCTGTTCCTTCTTCTTCTTCTTCGCAATCGGTTTCATATGCTCAGGTCAGACCATGAAGTGAATTGCCTCTATGAACTCGCATGTCAGCTGCAGGTCCTTCAATGTTTTCCATAGCTTGCTCTGCACACTTTGCTCTGGAGGCCAGGTTTGGGCAGGTCTGCAGAATGTGCTCAGGTGGTTTGTGGTCAGATGCACTACTCTGCTTAATCCTAGTCCACTGAAGCACACAAAGGACTTTTTTCTGATGGTACACAATGGTGCATAGTCTTGGTACATTTTTCTATGGCTGCTTTCTTTCAGCGCTACTATAATAGACACTATGAGGAGTACTGCAAGGTTTTTCTTGAAAAAAAGCCATGTGTGTGTGTGTGTGTGTATATATAATATATATATATATATATATATATATATATATATATATATATATATATATATATATATATATATATATATATATATATATATATATATATATGTGTGTGTGTGTGTGTGTGTGTGTGTGTGTGCATACAATCATGTGTGTGCAGCATGGCGGGCATGTGTGCATATATAGACATACATAAACACACACACATGTATATTTATAATTTGTGTGTGTATGTATGGATGTGTACACATACACACACACTGAAATATATATATAATGTGTGTGTGTGTATGTATGTATGTATATATATAAACACACACACACTATATATATAAATATATATGGATAAATATATATATATATATAATGTGTGTGTATGTATTTATGTATGTATGTATGTATGTATGAACACACACACACTGTAAATATACAAATATATACAGTGTGTGTGTGTGTGTATTACATATTAATTCCATCCTCTTGTTCAGTTCTGCAGCTTAGAAATTGACAATTTCATAATCCTTGAGTACCAGGATTTAATTTCTCCAGCTGGCAGGTTTATTTTAAAAAAAATAGCTTTTGTGGTTTTCGAACAGTGGTACGGGAGTTGCACTGTGGAAAAGCTTGAGGCCTCACTTCATTATACTCTCAAAGACACTGTAGCCAACTTTGGAGATGGCACACATTTTTTGGGGATTTCCAAAACCCCAGTGCAGCTCTCTGATTTGATTTTCTGTAGGAAGTCACCAATGCATTCTAGTAATTACACTGCACCTACCTTCATATTTGACATTTCCTTCCAAATCTTCTCTTGTGTCTGTGGCCTTGATAATGTCATCAACCTGCTCATCTGTGAGTTTTTCACCTGAATAAATGTAGGGAACTTATGTAAATACCTAATATCTTTGATTTATTAACTATGGAGAAAGGTATATGCAGTATAGGTGGAATGAAAAAAAGGTCCAAAGTCAAACAATATGTCAAGGTCTAAAAATTATACGAATTTAAGAGTATCTGATTTTTTTTTTTTAAGATACCTGCTTTGAATTTTTTTTTTTTTTTTTTGCATAAGCAGATCTTCAGAACTGTATCTCTAAACAAAAAAAAAAAAAAAAACAAAGAACAGGGAAAGCTGAGTTTGCAGAGAATTATGAGGCAGGAACAAATCAAATTTTTTTGTTTTGTTTTCAGAAACAGCTTTTGAATCTATTTATAATGTAAAAGTTATGCAATGTATATTATTTTACTTCTGATGTTATCAAACAGTAAATCTTTGTGACTGGAAACCAGGAACAAGTTTTAAAGAGTTGTGCAGACATAATGTGCAGACATAATGTTGACATATCACCTTTAAGTTTGGACATACTGCAACCAGCAAGAGAACAATTCAAAGAAGTAACCTACATTTGTAAAGAAGAAAATTTTTTATTGCATGGTGTTTTGTTTAAAAGGGAAAAAAAAAGTGCACTGAGGTATGTTTTAACAAGAAAAACAAATAGAGGACATCCTCAAAGTTATCATCCTGTTGTGCCATCACATGAGGCTCGCAGCTTAATCCTCCATTTTGTTCTATCATGGCAATTCTTTCAGTATCATGGGTGGAACCCAGTTCAGCACTTTTTGGCCTGTCTGAACAGTGCCTTTTTCCTGGTTTCTCTTGGGAAAATCCATTTAGATATAAGATAGCTGAGAGAAAATAAATTGGGCATTGAATACTGCACTGAAAGATGCCATTACATGAATTGTTATCGATATTACAATCAACATCATTGCGCATCAGGCAGAACAATTATGTGGAAGCAGTCGAAATGTGGTTTTATAGACGAATGATGAGAGCACCATAGACGGATAAAAAAGATTAACGAATATGTCTCAAAAGAAATTAACTCATGAAGAGAACTGATTGCCCACATCAGAAGGACACAATCTACATTCTTAGGTTATACCATCATCATCATCATCATCATCATGTGCCCTGCCAACTGGCATAGGCTCATGCATCTCCACAGATCACTATTATTGGTTATACCATGGGAGTGACAAAACTGGAATACTTCACAATGGAGGGAAAGTTAGAGGGAAAGAAAGGCAGAGAGAGACCTAGTGAGAAAATGCTGGTCAGTTTGACATCATAGGTCATCACATCACATGTGTCACAAATGATTGATGATTTCCCCTGTTTGGGGTAGGATATTAATAAAGCACCCCATGTTCAAGAGGATCATTGCTTAGGACAGAAAGAGTTTGAGACTGAAGGTGATAAAGGAAAGAAAAAGACCAGCAACATATTTTTTCCGAATATTTTTCCACCACACTCATTGCACTGTTATTCCCACAACTTGTGTGTGGAAAATGTCAACCCAATAGTTTATCAGATGCAAAAAATTGTACCAGACAAATGAACAAACAAAACAAAAGTGAACTTAATAAAAGCTTATCAAAAAAAGGATAAACTTGACAGGATAACATACCCAGACATGTGAGGACATGCCTCATTTCTGCAGCTGAGATAAATCCCTGGCCCTCTCTGTCGAAATGTTTTAAAGGCTTCGTTAAAGTCAGCAAATGTACCAGTGTCTTTTTCTTTGGAGACAGCAGAGTAAATTGGCAGAAACTCCTCAAATTTGTATGCCTTTTCCCCTGCAAATTGAAGACACACAAATTGTTTGAAGATCAGTTAGCACGGCTTATCTTATTCAATACCAAATAATTCACCATTCACATATATGTGGCTGGAGCAATGTTTTCTCATACACAAAGTATACAAAAAACATCCATTCAGTTTATATATATATATAATAGATATATATATAATATAATATAAGAATATATATATATATATATATATATCTATATATATATATATATATATATATATATATATATATTATATAATATATATATATATATATATATATATATATGTTTGACCTGGACTTTTCTGCGGCTGAAGAACACTGGTTTAGACAATAATATGTCAACAGAGAGTGTTCTTTAGTGAACAACAGTGTTGACTGCTCGAAAGAAGTCAGAAAAAGACTTGCATTAGCAGTGCAGAGATTAAACAGCATGAAGAACCTATAGCAAAGCACTAGTAAATTGGTTGAAGTAAAAATCTTAAGATCTTTAATTTTTCTTGTGGCAGCTTATGGTTGTGAGTCTTGGACTCTCACTCAGTCACTGAGGAAAAAGACTGGAGCTTTTGAATTGAAATTAGAATACCATGGATCAAGAAGAGGGAAAACATTCTAACAAGTTGAGAATCGAGGAGAACTGGCTCATAAACAGTATCCTGTCCCGAAAGTCGAAGTATTTTGGCCACATCAAGCGTCATGGTGGCTTGGAAAAGACGGTGATGGAGGGTGCAGTTTGTGGAAGACAAGGCAGGGGTTGACCACCGCAAAGATGGATACAGGACATTGAAGATGCATTGGCACTGAAAGCTGGCTAGGGAAAGGGATACTTTCAGGTGTTCCATGAAGAGAGTGAGGTTCTGTAAAGGACTTGCTGATTGCTGATGTCAACAAATTGACAGATACAAGATTGTAACACACACATAAATATTGCCTCTGATACAGCTACATATACAAATACACTGAGTGTGAGTGAGAGAGGGGTTGAATTACATTAAGTGCTCTTGATTTTAATATTGCTTACTATAGTCAAATCATACTCCTGAAAAGAACACTGAGCAGAAATACAACATATACTTCTTCTTCTTCTTCTTTGCTTTTTCGTTTCTTCTTCTTTTCTTCTTCTTCTTTGTCTTCTTCTTCTTCTTTGTCTTCTTCTTCCTCTTCTTTTTTCTTCTTCTTCTTCTTCTTTTTCTTCTTCTTCTTCATTTTCTTCTTCCTCTTCTTTTTCTTCTTCTTCTTCTTCATCTTCTTCTTCTTCTTCTTTTTCTTCTTCTTCTTTGTCTTCTTCTTCTTTTTTTCTTCTTCTTTGTCTTCTTCTTCTTCTTCCTCTTCTTTTTCTTCTTCTTCTTCTTCTTCTTTTTCTTCTTCTTCTTCCTCTTCTTTTTCTTCTTCTTCGCATTCACCTGCTGTCAACCCCGATAAAAAGTTTTGGTTGTTCATCCACTTCAGAACTAAAGTCTTGTTCCAGAACTTGAGTTTTGTGTGCACATTCGTTTTACACATCTGGCTTATTCGTATGCAGACTGAAGGAAACTTCTAATTAGTTGACTCTCAAGACATGCTTGTTAGGGAGGCAGTGGGTCAACCCACTGGGCCCCCGGGACACACATGGGGAGCAAAGTATACAGTATTGATATATTATTACATACAGATAATATATATATATATATATATATATATACACATATAAAATAAAATGCAGACCAAGTTTTTCTGTTCCTCCAATTTTCCTGATAGTCTCAAGGGTTGGGTTCAAACCCAGACAGTACAGCATATGCCCGGTCTTGAAAGCATCTACCTCTCCATCACGGCCATCCCAGAAATCGTAGAGTTCAAACACCTCACGGATCTCTGAAATATAAGTACATTCTTTGTAGTATATTAATATTATAAATCATAAAATGTTTACATATCTTGATCCTATTATCAGTGGTCTTCAACCTTTTTTTTCCCAGATCCCGCTTGCCCCATTTTTGAGTATATGGCAAGACCCCTCATGCCCCCTCCCTCCCTCCTGAGTATATGGCAAGACCCCTCATGCCCCCTCCCTCCCTCCTGAGTATATGGCAAGACCCCTCATGCCCCCTCCCTCCTGAGTATATTGCAAGACCCATACATGAGTATATGGCAACAACCCCCCACCCCCCCCCCCCCCCGACCTTTTTTACATAAAACAAAGTAAATAAACAGATGACAATAGATTCCGCAACAAGGAAACAGACAGTATAGAGATATGTTTTGTTTTGATCAGAAGGGGTTCTTAATCTATAATTAAATGTGTGTGTTATTAAATTAATTAGATTTTTAACCGTAGATGTTCAAACTACTCAAACAAAACTGCGGCCCCCCCCCCCCCCCCCCCAATGGGTCCCGGGACCCATAACTTGATTTCTTACACTAACATTGGCGTGTACAAACACCACCCGAAGGAGGACGAGGAGAAGAAGAACGACTAAAAGGAGGCGAAAAGAAAGACGTAAAGTTGCAGCAGCAGTAACAGCAGTTTTACTTAGTAGCAGAATAAGTGGTAAGTAGCTGGAATGAGTTATAAGTTAGATTAGCTTCACAGCACTCCGGACACATCCAGAGGCGCTCAGATTTCCCTCTCAACATATTCATCAGCGTCGTGCGATTAATAGCACCAGTCCTATGTTGGTTAACAAGACTTCGTGTGCGTCCGATGTGCTTCTCATGCTCGGCCGTGCCGATCAAGTAGCTGGAAGTAAAACCTGTTGCTCATCCTTTATAGCATGTTGCAGAACCAACCCCGGCATTTGTTGTTGTTGTTGTTGTGTTTCTAGGCATATTTACAATCAGTAGTTTGCCATTACTACTGTACGGTGGACTCTCGGTACTAATGTCGAAGCCAACGCAAGACGGTAAGTTGCCAAATCTTCTGCAGCTGGAATCGTGCAGCTGTGAATTCTAAGGAAAAAATACCGTTAACAACAGAAAGGCCTTAAGATGAACAAGATTAAAAGTAAAAAGTAAAGATCCCTTTTCACGCCTTTTTGGCCCATTGGGCATATGGGAAAAGCACCCATATTTTTACAAACCAATCGGCACTAGGTGAGTAATGTGGTCAGCATTACGCCGGCTGTCTTTACTTCCCTGGGACCCCCGTGTGGGTTCCGGGGCCCCATTGTGGGGAAAACAAGAATAGACCCACTGCCTCCCCAAAAGCATGTCGTAAGAGTCGACTAATTGGGAAGCTTCCTTTGAAGTCGGAGTGCCTGCCGGAGAGGCAAGGAACCAACAGTCTGTATTCAAGAGAATGAGATCTGTAAAACTGATGCACACGCAACACTCAGGTTCTGGAGCAGGACTGCAGTTCAGTAGTGGACGAGCAACCAGAACCTTCCGCCAAAGTTTACAGCTGGTGAACGTGAAGAAGAAGAAGAACTTCCCTGGGACATACATCCTGGTACCCGTTTTAAGCTGGGAGGACCTGCGACGTCCCAAGCCATGATAAAAATCCACGCAGTCAGCAGTGGGTTTCGATTGGAATTACGAGTCGGATAAGCTACAGACGCCGCAAACAAGATTAAACAAGAGGATTACTGAAAGATATTTTTTTAAAGAGAGACAACTGATATATTTTCGCCCCATTAAAAGGCATAATACGCTTCTAAAACCATGCTGAGGGAGGTGGTGGGAGAAGGTCAAAGGCAAGAGATAGAGAACGTTACAAGTGGGAGGAAAAAAATCAAGAAATGACGGAAAGAAAACTGAGACAGTGTATGCAAAGCGTGTAGGAGATCCATTGCAGCCAACCTTTATTGTAGAGACAGAACTTGATTTATTGACTGAAACCAGATAAAGAACGAAAGTCATAATGGAAAAAAAAATAGTGTGTGCAAGGAACGGAAGAAGAAATAACAGAAAAAAAGAGATGACATAAGTTAGTTATTTAGTCGACTCCGAATCGCACAAGTCTATACGCGATTTCACCCCATCTCCACTATCTCCCTCAGGCTTATAACGCCAGTTCTGCATTGGTTCGCTGTTCTGCTTTGTCTACCTGTACAGTATTCATGTATGGCAACACCTCTTTAGATGTAAAAATGGTGAGAAGTTTAAAGTGGAATGAAAGTAAGCAGAGAAAGAAGGAGAAAGAAAGCAGGGATACAAAAAAAGAGAGAGTACGGGTGCTTTCCCAATAGCTCCCCCCTCCCCGGATGACGTCACAGAACAGTCCAATGCTTTTAACTGCCCCAACACATCTGGAACTGGGGTGCCTAGGTCCTACGACTGCATGCAGCCTATATACCACCCCCTAAAATATTCGAATATCGGTAAACGTAACGTTAATCTCACCCACGCCCCGCCTGTAAATACACTAAGTCACTTCTGATTGGTAGTTCGTGAACCTGTCACATTCGCACATGGTTACGGGGGTGTTCGGGGATGCCGTTGATATCGCGTGTTGTATATTTCAGCACGCAAGCGCTTTTAACTCTCCAAAAACATGCAGCACTGGCCCTAACACAACTCCCTACAAGAGTGTTGCGAGCTGTGTCACAGGCATTTTCTTTCTCGGAATAAAAAAAACGCAAATGGAAGGCAACACAGAAAGCAAACAATAAAGCAAGACACACCCGTAACCTTCAGCAAGTCGAACAGATTTCACAAACTTATGAATGAAAAGTGGGTCAACTCTCTTTGGGGAGATTTACGCGATGTTCGCCCTACTGTTTTCTTCTTGTGGGGAGATATTGGGATACAACTGAGAGGGCGTATACAGACAAGAAAGAACGTAAGAAAAATTTATGACAGCAACAGAAATACACGTGAATAAAGGTAAAGATAAGAGATGTCAACCAGCGTCATTGCACACGGTTAGAAACCATAAGTGCTCTGCCATCAGTACGGTCAGCTGATAAGAAAGTATCCGCCTGTATCGCCTTCCTCACGCAACTCCGTAGCTACAACGACGTTCCTCCATTTACCCCAGAGTGTCAAACTCTGGTACCCATTACCTAGAGGCTGGGTGAACCCCGGGAACCGCCCGGTTTAGAACACAGGCCGTGGGCTGCAGCGAGTCGCAGCTGGATTTAAAAGCAAACCTCCTATCGACTGCACTAACGCAGCTCCCTGAAGAAAAAAATACGTGTGAAATATAATACCATAGCAACATCCCCGGGAAAAAAAAAAGATGGGGCGGGCAGCGAAGTTGCTGAGTAGTTCCTTTTGTCAGAAACATGCTGGAATGTCTTGCACGGTTTCAGCGCTAACACACACCAGGTGTAACACAAACTAGCACGTGAGTAATTAACGATGATGGTTCCCTCACCAGCCAGATTGTTTGAGCACACCGTTGCTTCCTCACGCGCGTGCTCGTCTGTCGACCTATATACGCCCACTATCTGGTGCCCCCATACAAAGGAAACATCGGGGGAAGGGAAAGGCTTGGATGGAGGGGGAGAGGGGGGGGGGGGCTCAGCCGCGCACATTATCTAGGTAGCACCTCAAGGGGTTCAGGCCTTGTTTAAGTGCTTAATAATAGTATTTATTTTTGTTTTGAATGGCAAAGAAATGCACTAGAAGCATTCATGCTTCATTCTTTGTAATATAAACCTAAAGCTGTCTCTCTTCCCCTCCAACTTTCCCACAGTCACGATGTTCTCTAGTTTTTCTTCCTCTCATGACACGACAACTACTGGACGTAAATTTGCCAAGAGAAACCACACAACAGCCAGGGGCTGCTGGGGTTGGTTCTGCAATGTCCTGTCAAGGATACGCAACTAACCTGTTAGATGTGGCTAAGTCGACGTGAACACTTCGTAATGCCGGGATGCCAGGTTTGATCCCAGTTGCGGGCCATGCGCCTTGCGTTGGTTTCGACAGTGGTATCAAGAAAGCCGACCGTCTAGTAAGCAATGGCAAACTACTGGACATAAATTTCCCAAAAAAAACCACACAACAGCCAGGGGCTGCTGGGGTTGGTTCTGCAACGTCCTGTAAAGGATACGCAACTAACTAACCATGACACGACAACACAATAAGAATTGTCCCTTTCGACGTTCCGCCGTTTATAATTTATAATTTTTCACTAATCAGACCGCATATCAGGATCGGATTTATATAGCTCTTGAGAATTCACTTTCTCACCTTAATTGACAGAGGAAGATTGCATAGGATATTCTTCCTTTTGTGAAATGTTGCCTTTGCTTGAGTTATTCTACATGTAATTTCTCTAATAAATCTTCATTTGCTGTTATCAAGGTACCTAAGTAATATTTAAACGATCAACTTTCTTGAGGATCCTGAAAAGGAGCATTGTTTATGACGACGTGGACCGATGTTTGTTTGGCTTTTTCCGGCGGCTTACAGATCGGCAACCAAGCAGCAACAGGGCACCAGCACAGCGACCAGCACGAAGCAAGCCAAGCACCAGCAACAGTCAGCTAATACCCGTAGATACCATCACAAAGAGATCTGGACCACACCAGACCAAAAGACCACAAGCAGCACAGCAAGGAAGCAAACAACCGTAATATCAGGTGTGACTACACTCCACAAATAAAAGGAAACCATATAAGACAGCTAAGGAACCTTCGATATAGCAGGCCTCCGGGTGGCTGAAAGAGGATCAAATTTGGAATTTTTGTTGGACGAATTGGAATTGGAATTGAGGATTGTCTTCATTTTGATGTTAGAGAGAGCCATTTCTCGTTATAGTTATCATCACTTTTGTTCTTCTGCTGTTAAAGCTAAGACGCTTGATTTTTTTGTTATTACAACTATGTCCGGTGATGGGTGGGTGGGGGGGGGGGGGGCTTTGTGGTCTACAGGTATGGTGTCCACCTCGAGTGCTAGAGGTTCTGGGTTCAATCCCCGGTAAGGGCTGAGATTTTTTAACGTGGACTTGGACTTTAGTTCTAGTAATTTTCCCCTGGTCTCTGGGTAATAAGATCGGACGCCCCTCTGTATTTTTAGCTGCGTATCCTTTACAGGACGTGCAGAACCAACCAACTAAATTTTCTAGGCAAATTTACGTCCAGTAGTTTGCCATTGCCTTCTGGACGACCGGCTTTCTTGAAACCACCGTCGAAACCAACGCAAGGCGCATGGCCTACAGCTGGAATCGAACCCGGCATTCCGGTTTTACGAAGCGTTCGCATCGACTTAGCCACAGATCCCACTCTGAGCCGACTCTGTATTGTTGCGAACGTATAAAATCCCTTGGCAGTTGGAAATCAAAAAGAGTAGCTTAAAGGCGCTGCACGGGCAAAATTTGGAGTAAAAAATCTACCAAAATATTTCAGGATCCTCGCCGGTGGTACGGAGCCCGTGCACTGCGCTGAAGCATTCCGCGTTGTTCAGACCTCAAACTTACAATTATGTCCATAATTTGTCATAATTGTATCACATTATTATTATTACCTAAGGTCACCAAAACGGGACATCTCACTAATATTTTGAGCTGAAAATGTGACATCCCAAGCAAGTCAATTACCAGTTACCAACGCCTTAGGTTACCGGGGTGAAAGGGTTAGTAACACGGTCAATCGACACTGGTATTAAAACCCAAACTACTGCCGCCAAGGTCGCCAGGAAATAAACGGAACAACATACCTGTACTGTCTGAAATTTATTGATGAGGATGCCACAATGACAATTCTTATCAACGAATTTCAGGCATTAAAAGTATCAAAAACTAGAAACCGAAATAGGTCGACAAATTTAACTCTTGAGCTTATTTTCAGGTTTTTACAAAAAGGGCGTTTTGGAGCACCTTCGAGGCGACCAGGACACACTTGAAAACATGGAACGCAGTAATATCACAGACCACGGCCAGCTCCAGATTTATACATACAGCCGGACGTGTCACAGACACTGAAAAGTACTTTATACGAAACGAATCGAAGGGCCCGTTTCAGAGATCTCTTCCTGCCCTGACGCCAGGAGGCGTTCAAGGAGTAGAGAAAAAGAAGAAGAAGAAGAAGAAGAAGCAGAAGAAGAAGAAAAAGCTTGCCTGCGACCAGACGCTGTGGGGTTTTTAATCACAACATATATCGATAGCCAGTTTGTCTATAAAATTAGGTCTAGTACCGCATGGGGCTCTCACTGTTTTTTGAGCTTTACTAAAAGGACTCACAGGAGCCGCTGGACAAGCGGTTACAATGTCCGACTCTCACGCGGAACACCAGAGTTAACCCCCCCCCCCCCCCCCCCTTTTTTCTTTTTCGCCTGTCCCGGTAAGGTAATGGCAAATTCTCTGTTGGTGGCAAAAATTAACATCCTAACATTCACATTCCGTCCCGACATCTCTAGCTATGCCACAGTAAGGTCTTTGTTTCAGTACTAAAAGTACAACTTGTATTCTTATAGGAACACTTCTGTTGTCCTCACAAAACGCACCTGCTCTATTTGCACAAGTAATCTGTAACTAGTGCAGTCATGGTGTTACCTATGAGGTATGCTCTTGTGCCTAAGATGGATGGATAGATAGATGCTTCAACTACGCATTTCTCTCAGACTACCCGGCATGCCTGCTGATCCGGGAGCTCGGGATCCTGTTTGCAACTACGCAGAAGCCAGGAATGTGGGCAAGAGAATGGGGGCAACGGGAAGTGGGTTACGCCCCCCCCCCTTTCTCTCTCTCTCTCTCTCTCTCTCCCTCCCTCTCTCTCTCACTCTCTCTCACTCTATCTCTCGCTTTGTGTGTGTGTGTGCACGCGCAGGCGCTCGTGTGTATGTGTGTGGCAAGTTGTTGGGACAAAGTAGGGCATAGGTATCTAAAACGAGAGTTGTAGAAAGATTCAATAATAAAGTGAGCGGAAGAGGGATGGAAGATGTTTATTTAACACACTAAATCTTTTACTGGTCTGATCTAAACCTATTTGTGGTGGTAGTAATAATAATAATAATGGAATGTGAGGAAAATATATATATACACGAATCCGTGGCAGATGTGATCTTCTTCTTCTTCTTCTTCTTCTTCTTCTTCTTCTTCTTCTTCTTCTTCTTCTTCTTCTTCCAAAAAATGTAATTCGTTATGCCAGTTTACAGCATGTCTGCAATATTTGCTTCTTTCGGCCGACACATCCGACTTCTGCAGGCATTTGTTGGCCGGGTTGGCCTTTTCCTGGAGATGTGATTTGGTTAGCATTCATTAGAACAAAGTCTTTGTGCATAATTTCATGGCTAAAGTCTTCACGCCAGCACAAAACTTTATCGCGCCCCCTCCCCCCCCCCCCCCCCCGGGCCGCCCACAAATCAAAGTACAAGTGATAGCGCTGCCGTGAGTATACGATCACCACAGTCTGGTGAGAGTGATACAGCAAGGAATGATGAGGAAATCTGGCCGATACTCGACGCTCAGAGGAAAGGCAAGACGGTTGTATAATTAGAATGCTACTTGCACCACTGATATTGAAATTCTTCTCTGGCTGCTGAAGATAGAGACGGAGCGCTTATGGAAATGCCCCGAGTGCTGTGATGTCGTTTATTGAATCAAGTCAACTTAACTCAACGCATACGAAAAATAATCTCGGTGTATCAGCCATGTGCACATACACAGTTTTACTCCACATAGCAGAAAACATTTTCCAAGACCGACATGCCATATTAAGGCAGTGAAATGTAAGGTTTACCGACTACTAAATGAAAGAAACAAGACAGTGACATTTATACGAACGACACACTTACAGATATAAACAACTTATTTCAGGCGAACGAAAGAAATGTTTTTTGTTTGTTTTTTGTCTACAACATAAAGCATGAGAATGGAGGTGGAGGCAATCACTGCAGCTCTGGTGAATAGCAGAAAATAGAGTAACTTATGGAATTTAAGTGACTGATTAAAAAGGATACCAAGCATCAGCACGTTAAAATTATAGGCTCTCACATGGAAATATTGTTCGAGATCAGCAGGAATGCGAGGAAATGAAGGAGTCGATTTTCTGGCTACATAAACGATTACTACAGGAACATTCGTACTGCACGAAGGAGACATTCCTAAGACCATTTAAGAACGAATTCTGATTGAAGACGTGATGTTAAATGAAATAACATGTGTAAGAATATGGGAACGAGGAATTAGGTGTGGACCGGGTAAGGAAGGGGGAGGGACATCAGGAGAGTAAAAGAAGGACGAGTTTATAATCAGTGTGCTACGGGAACAGTTAGTATCTACACGTTAAGACATTTGCTGTGGGGTGTATGCCCGGCTTGCTGCAGTATAATCAGTATTTATTAATCAGAACGGAAGAAGCCAACGAGGAAGAAGAAGAATGAGAAGAAGAAGTCTATGAAGAAGAAGCCGATGGCGAAGAAGAAGAAGAAGAAGAAGAATAGAAGAAGAAGAAAAGAAGAAGCCGTAGAAAAAGCAGAAGAAGAAGAAGAAGAAGAAGAAGAAGAAGAAGAAGAAGAAGAAGAAGAAGAAGAAGAAGAAGAAGAAGAAGAAGAAGAAGAAGAAGAAAAGGAAAAAGAAGAAGAAGAAGAAGAAGCCGTAGAAAAAGCAGAAGAAGAAGAAGAAGAAGAAGAAGAAGAAGAAGAAGAAGAAGAAGAAGAAGAAGAAGAAGAAGAAGAAGAAAAGGAAAAAGAAGAAGAAGAAGAAGAAGAAGAAGAAGAAGAAGAAGAAGAAGAAGAAGAAGAAGAAGAAGAAGAAGAAGAAGAAAAAAAGGAAAAAGAAGAAGAAGAAGAATACGGCGAAGAAGAAGAAAAAGAACGACAACTATTACAACATTAGTTAACGGGAAGGGCATAAGAAATGTTGAATATTTCCTTACCTTCGATCTCGTCTCTGGAAAGCTCGCTCTGGGGACGAGAAATTATTATTTTAAAGAGCTGATGCGGGCACATTAACGATTATATTATAATTGCAAACAAAATGATCGAAACAAATTCACAGGATTCACTATGCCCTAAATTTATTTTATTCTCCTAAACTAATTTTATAACGCAGGAGAAGATTTGGAAACCTATGTGGCAAATTTAATCACTTACAATTTAAAACAGAATAATGAATGTAATAATGGATGTTCAACACAAGTCGATCAGCTGAATGCTGGCCACGTCACCCATTAAATGCCCATCATCATCGTCATTATTATCATCATCATTATCATCATCACCATCATCAACATCCCAGTTTCCACTTTTGCCATTAAACGGCTTAGGGAGGAACAGTGTGCAAGCCATTGTTTGGTGGGTAGCGACGACTATTCTCATTGCGTGTTACTAAATCGCCCCAATTTGAGGCCTTAAAGTATCAACATGCACACACCCACAACACACACGCAGGCATGCACACTCACACACACTCACATGCTACACTATAAGGAGTTACATGTAGTTTCACCTCTTTTGCTAGTTGCATAGCTCAGGCCAAAGCCTGGCACCCTGTCGTGCTCGTCAATTATGCTCTAGCTGCTGGCTGATTTTGTTCCTTTCTGACCAGATGACCAAACTATTTCATTCTTTGATGTTCAATGAAATCATTCATTATTACTATGCCTGCTGTTATTCTCAGTTCTTCGTTGTGTGGGGTGGAAACACGGAGAACAACTAAGGCAATTACTAATAAATTACAGACATTCATTAACTGGTTCTTGCGCAGAATAGAGGGAATTAAATGGTATAAAAGAATAACTAATGTAGAGCTTTGGGAGAGAATTAAGCAAGCTCCAGTGGACCAAGAGGTGAGGAAAAGACACTGGCGTTGGATAGGACACACACTGAGAAAACAGGACAACAGCATAACTAGATTGTCTTTGCACTGGAACCCACAGGGGCATAGGAATAAAAGAAGGCCAAAAAAACTGTAATAATATCAGCATGATACATATTTTGACCGTCGGTGGTGATAGCGGATTCAGCCAACCTATCAGCTCTTTAATTTCTATCGATGTCCGCCTTTCCTGGCGACTACGCACAGTGGGCCTCTGTAATTATTCAAGCCATTGCCTTCGTACCGAACCTTCCTGAACCCTCCGGATCATACTCATTGAATCAGTGAATACACAAGCGAGGGTGTAGTTTTGTGTTTCGAGCAACGAGAAGGCTTGTGTTACTGCCATCACCTCCATCGTCGTGCTGCTGTTCAGAAGGGGCATTTCTTCCGATACTGGAGGGTTGTTCCACGTAACTGCTTATTGTTCATGCCTTACATGCACACTGCTATTAAGTTAGTTGCGTATTCTTAACAGGACGTTACAGAACCAACCCCATCATTTTTTGACTGTTGTGGTTTTTCTAGGGAAATTTACGTCCAGTAGTTTGCCATACAGCTGTACAGGTTCTAAATATCCTACTCCAAATTAATTGGGGGCGGAAAGGGGTAAGAGAGGGAGGGGCTGGGGGAGTTCATGGCGAAGTGCTCAACCCGTTTGCTCTGCGTGCTGCAGGTCGTGGGTTCGTAACATGTACTTGTTATAAAGTTCCCTGGTGGTGTTTTTACGAAGATCTCAGGGAGATCGTCACTGAAACTACGGAGTTTGTGCTTTGTGTTACGCCTCGCCAGGTGGTTAGCCGCTTTATGGAGAGAGACCGAGCTCTGTGCGATACATCCGGTGCAATAAGTTGATTCTCTTGATTTTAACTTTTTTTTTTTTTTAATTCACGTTAATTCCACATAAGGGTTCAGGGGTATAATTTGAGACTGGAGGGGGCGGGGGGAGTACCTATTTCTCTAAAAAGCCTACTATAAAAGGGGTGTTCATGAGAGGTAAGGAACCAACAGTCTGTATATAAATAAACCAGCTCTGCAAATGGATGTGCACGCAAAACCTAAAGTTTTGGAGCAAGACCAAAGTCCAGAACTGGGAGAACAACCAGAACTTTCCGCCAGGGTTGACAACCGGCGAACGGAAGAAAAGATGATTTACACAAATGAAGAGTGCTTATTGTGAACATTATGAAAGAAAACAGATAAATACTCACTGCCATGGTGATATCAAAAGCTGCTGATGCCTAAGGTTTCAGGATAAAGGTAGAGCGAAAGTTTCTCAGCTCTCGTTGAGGTCTCAGGTAAAAGTGAACACAGGAATCGGCTTTCTCAAGTTGAGCTCTGTGCAGCGCAGGTGAGTTCATTTTCTACGGCAGAGGGGGGTGGTGAGCCGCAAAAATCGCACTGGAGAGGAAAGAATGTATGAGTTGCTTGCATTGTGTGGATGGACTCACTCCGCATAGTGAGTAAACATACAGACTCATGCCAAAGTAGACTCGAGGCCACGAGGTTTATGCCATTAGCTGGTTGAATATTCTGCAGCACTAGACAATGGTTGGTTTGCCTTAGTGTTAATTGTTTCCCGGAAGAAACGCTTACAGACAGTAGCTGTGTCTCAACACGTATCTGCACAATATCTCCACACGCCGCTTACACATGACACATACTGAATATAGGCAGACAAGTTATCAGTTATGAGTTTGGTTATCTTTACGGCAGCCCGGCCATATACTTAGTTGCAAATACCCCCGACCTCTTACTCTTAGCATAAGCAAACGCGACTAATAGTGCTAGTGCTAGGCATATACTCGTTGAAAATACTTTTTGGGGGGGGGGGGGGGGGGGGCTTCCGGTGCGGTCGTGCCTGGCTTTGTCGATCGTTCTTCCCATTATATGCAGTTCTTAACAATAATGCGATGTGCATGCGACACCCCCCCCCCCCCCCCCCCCCCCCCCCCCCCCCCCCCCCCCCCCCCCCCCAAAAAAAAATGATCGCACCCTCTCTCTATCTCTCAGGGCATTAAGAATGTCGACCCAGTCTATACGCTGGCTATATGCAACTTTAGTAGAGCCAGCCAATTTATTTGCTCTTTCGTTGCCAAACAACAACCGCCTACCCTGGAAGAAAGATGATTTCGCGAACGGTTGACATTTGCAGTGACTCAGTCTACTGTATGCTTTATATGAGATGTCTCTATGTGTTGATCGGGGTTGCCTTATGCTGTAAGAGGGGTTCTAGCTGCCTTAATACTTGACCTGCTTCACAGCATCGGATATTAATTTCTTCGTCCGATTTACCATCTTCAGTAAATGTTCCAAGATATTTAAACTCAGACCAAGACAAGAACGTGTTGAAGATCTATCGCAGCCATCGGTAGGCTTGACCACTGCCGACTATAGTCTGTCACACCGTTTCAAAACTTCCTACTCCACTCGTACACTTCCTGGGCTGACAGACAGGCATCATCGTACTGGACCTCCATTCATTGATGATTTTCTGTTGGTTTCGATCCTTAACTGATTAAAAACCGGACAACAGAACGCGGCTGTTCTTTAGTACATGTCACAAGTCAGGCGGCCATCTTTAAACTGTCATTATGAAGTAACAGTTTTAGTGCACCGTGATGTCATGCTTAACACTTTTCACATCCCTATCAACAACATTGACAGGTTACATGACAATGGCATGATTACTGTAATTTCTATAACACTTTTACGTTTTTTTCCTACCCCCCCCCCTTTTTTTCCCGCCCCGCCCGCGTATATCTATTAACTTCTGTAGTTCAGCCTTTTGGCAATTACGTTTCCCCAACACGTAGCAGAAAACCGCATGCAGTTGTGTGTTGTTAAGATGTGTGTGTGTCTGTATGTGTGAAAATGTTTACTTAGAAATTAAGTTCGTTGATGTGCTCGCATAACTGCACGAGAAACGAGATTTGGAAGTGAGCCAGTAGGTGGAGTGTCTAACGGAGTTGGAACAACGGCAGTGGAGTGTCTAAGGGAGTTGGAACAACGACAGTGGAGTGTCTAACGGAGTTGGAACAACGGCAGTGGAGTGTCTAACGGAGTTGGAACAACGGCAGTTGAATGTCTAACGGAGTTGGAACAACGGCAGTGGAGTGTCTAATGGAGTTGGAACAACGGCAGTGGAGTGTCTAACGGAGTTGGAACAACGGCAGTGGAGTGTCTAACGGAGTTGGAACAACGGCAGTGGAGTGTCTAACGGAGTTAGAACAACGGCAGTGGAATGTCTAACGGAGTTGGAACAACGGCAGTGGAGTGTCTAACGGAGTTGGAACAACGTTAGTGGAGTGTCTAACGGAGTTGGAACAACGGCAGTGGAGTGTCTAACGGAGTTGAAACAACGGCAGTGGAGTGTCTAACGGAGTTGGAACAACGGCAGTGGAGTGTCCAACGGAGTTGGAACAACGGCAGTTGAGTGTCTAACGGAGTTGGAACAGCGGCAGTGGAGTGTCTAATGGAGTTGGAACAACGGCAGTGGAGTGTCTAACGGAGTTGGAACAACGGCAGTGGAGTGTCTAAACGAGTTGACACAGCTGCAGCTAGCGTGGATCCTAAACACAAGACACTAATGACATCCTCAGTACTCGATATGCGCAATGCAGAATAAATTACATACCCATTGCTGAAACCTATATTGACTTTTTGATTGCTTTGTCTTTGCCAAATTTTCAAAACCAGCAATACCCCTTTACGGGTTCCGGGGCCCTATGTTATGGTAAAACAAGAAAAATCCACTGCCTACCCAAAATTATGTCGTAAAAATCGACAAATTGGGAGTTGCTTCGAAGTCGGAGTGCATCTGCCTTAGAGGCGAGGAACCAACAGTCTGCATACAAATTAGTCAAATCTGTCAAACGAAGGCCCGCGCAACGCTCAGGTTCTGGAATAGGGCTGCAGTCCAAAAGTAGACGAACAACCAGAACTTTCCGCCGGAGTTTACAAGAAGTAGAAGAGAACTAGTATTAAGGTCAATAAAAAGAAAGAATCAGAAACTAAATATAACAGCAGCGTGCAAAGGTATTATACAGGCATCTGAATTTAAATATCGGGGAACAACATTGATCCAAGATGGAAAATTGGATAAAGAAATTACCAAATACAGTAAAGCATAAAAAAGTACTAGGACAGCTACCCCACTATCCTCTCCTTCTTTCCTCCCGTTTTTTCCCTTACAGCATAATACAAGTCTGATTCGTTTCAAAGAAACATCTCACACAAAGCATATTCATTCCCATTCCTTGCTGCCAGTGCCAAACATGTTCAGTCACAACATTCCGTAAAAGAAAATTAGTAACCATATAAATGAGATGTCTGAAAAGGGCTGCAGGAGTGACCAGAGGAGTTAACATAAGACGTGATATTATAAGAGAAATGTCGGCACATAACAAATTTTAAATTACATTCTAAGACAGCAAATCGAATGGTATGCCCACCTAGAGAGAATGCATTATGACGCTATGCCATTCAAGGCATACGCCGAAAGAGTAGAAGGCCGTATAGCACAAGGTAGACCAAGAAAAACACGGAAAGATAATATCAGATATAGCAGCACAACGTGGTCGAGGCAGCCAGAAGAGCAAGAAGCAGAAATGTATATCTCCTCGACGTCCTAACGCGGTAAAAGAAGAAGTGAAGAAGATGAAGAAGAAGAATAGCCTCTGAATTCTGTTCACAGTGAACAGCGTATCTCAGACTGACCATCAAATTTACAAAAATACTGGGCTAAAGCAAAGCTGATAATAAGTTAAGTTAATTCAAGAACCGACATCACACGCTCTGGGCATTCCCATAAGCGGTCCATTCTTATCTTCAGCAGCCAGCGCAGAGTTCCAATACTAATGGTGCTAGTGGCATTCCGATTATACCTCCGTATTGTTTTTTCTCTGAGAGTCGAGTATCGGCCAGAACCATTCGTCTCTCCCCGCTGCGTCACTTTCATCAGACGGTGATGATCCATTTGCTCCTCCAAATTGTACACGCTCTCCCACAAGGCCCCAACCAGTTGTGTTAAGCCGGCCAGTCTGTCCCCCTGTTAATTTCCCAACACACTGACACGACGTGGAAAAAAGATCCAGTCAATGCTTGCGACTCTGCACGAAGCATGCCTGTCTTCACCTTCCTCAGCATGCTTTCTGAGTCAGTTACAATCATGATGTGTGTGTGTGTGTGTGTGTGTGTGTGTGTGTGTGTGTGTTGTGGTCTCTTTAGTTTTGATAAAGACAGAATACGTTAAAATAATGTTGCGTTAAGTTGAGTTGAGTCAAGAACTGACATCACAGCACTCTGGGTATTCCTATACATGCTCAGTCCTCATCTTCAGCAGCCAGCGCAGAGTTCTAATACTGATGGTACCGGTCACAATCTGGTTATATGTCCGTCTTGTCTTTCATCTGAGTGTAGTGAGCGGGCCAGACTCTCTAGTTAAACCCAGGTGCCTCATTCTCTCCAGGCAATAATATTTTTCTTTCTCTACTGATTCCGTTGCTTGTTCCCAAAGGGCATTGACCACATCTGCCTTGTCATGTATCAATTCACCACCCAGTGGTGCAGATCCAGCCAATCTGTCTGACTGTTCATTACCCACTATGCCGGTATGGCCCAGAGAAAAGATCCAAAGTATGCTCACTACCCATGACCTTCCCAGTGTAGCTTGCCACTCTGCTCGAAGCATTCCTGTCTTCACCTTTCTCAGCATGCTTTCAGTCTGTTACAAGTACGACATGTGAATGCATCTTGTTCTCTAACCACCTGAGAGCTGCGGTTACCGCTTCCACCTCCATTCTCATGCTAGATGTTGTAATGTCGTTTGCTAGGCTGTCTTGCACTAAAGATTTTCCATCCGCTTTCGCTGCGAACCCTCAACCACTTTTCTGTCCACTCAACACCGAACCATCTGTATAGATAATCAGATCACCTGGGCGTGAATTGTCGTCAATCAACTGTTGGACGTCCACCTCTGCAGCCCCCAATGGTCACTCTCTGCACTCCCAGCCCAATGTTACCATAACCCTACACAGGTCAGACTTTTCCTCCGGTACTCTGACCCACTCCTCTCCTCGCCCATTAGTTAGTTAGTTAGTTGTTTGGGTTATCCTCATTGCACTCCGGACATGTCCATAGGTGCTCAGATCCTCCCCTCAGTATGAACCCCAACGTCCGATGGCTAATAGTACCAGTTCTATATTGATTAACAAGT